GCGACTATCGGAGACTTTAGTAATCAGTTTTTTCATCGAATTGTGATCATTTAAGCCATCCTAGTTGGCATTGTATGATTGTATTGATATAATCTGTTGATCTGATAGATCAAATATTGATATCGATGTATCTTAGAGAAATGTCAACGACGAGATATCGATTGGCTTCACGTAGTGGCTAAGAAATGGTTGAGCCGTGTTTGTAGCTGCCCCTACGACAGCAACAAACATTTTATGAATCTGACGTTGCGCTTCTTTCCGTATGACACAGGAGAATCATTCCAGTACTCGACTGGCGTTCCTTGATGATGACCTCTACTCAAGTTAAACACTTCAGCTTGCAGAGCGGTATTTTCGTGGCCAGATCATTCTTACGTCGGCTATCTGCTCCGCAGTTTTGCATGTAAGTGAGAAAAACTGTTGGCTTTCAGGTTGCTCTCCCTTGATCAGAGCTCTTAGGTTGTGGTTTGTACGGGAAAATTAACGCAGGCGAAAACGAGGTTATATTTTACCGGGTAATAGGATGACCAGCTAGAATGTTAGCAGATTGAAACTCGCGGTCTTCTAATCGTACATGAATAAGGGTGATGGTTTGGCACCCATTAACTGACGTCACTAATGCCACTCTTCAAGTGCTATCTTGATTTGTCGTTTTTCCTGTCTATGAGTCATCATTTTCCCTCGAATCTGAGGTATGAATACATGACCTTGTCGGATTTCGAACGGTGTATTTAGGTGAAATAAGCTCTTGGCTTTCAGCATGCTACAGAAACCCAAAAGATCTGAGGCTCGTCCCAAGCTAAGCTGCAAAGTTTGATTTATATCATACGGAAGTCACCACTACTGAACTGGTATTGTGGGTGATTCGATGAGCCGTTGCCTAGCCGACCACATGGCAGTTGGTGATCAGTATAATTTTGCGATTTAAAGTAGACTGTAAAGGATTAAATTAAATGCCCACTAAATGCATTTTGTTTCCTTTGCATGTATGCGATGTGATTGCTGGTCATTAAGCAGAATTTAGAGTGAACACGGCACGCGATTAGTTGCTCAAACTTAATAAAACAAATGAACAAGTACAAATAACAGTGAAAACGAATCCGTATCACGCTGACCAGTTTTGTCCCAAATGACAGCTCTTTCTTGGGATCGATCAGACATTGTGAAAGAAACGGAATGATTGACCTTCAGTAGGCTCCATTACGGCACCTGCAATCACAATAAAGGGATCTTGTGATTGGTCACTTCGATAGGCACTGATCAAATCATTGATACAACGGTCGAATTTGGTTATTACAATGGAACTAACCGTGGCAATTCTTTGCTTATCAAACACATGGGATTTGCAGGCTAGAAAGTGAATTGTGTTCGAAGCTGTATTGCATACGGACACTGCCAGGTGATAGAACCCTCCCTGTTTCACTCACCAGGCCAGTGTCATCTGCGTATTTGAGGTCATCAAGATATCTAGCTAAATATCTTGAACTCCGCCGTCCCTTTCGAATGAGACCTTGGGTTTTTCGAAGAAGAAAGTCGAAAACAGTTGAATATCAACGGGAAAGCCCTTTCCTCTGGCGAAGTGTATAATTCATAGGGAACAACTCAGATAATTTTCCTTCTGTTTAGGTAACTTACATGGCTCTTGCATGCATCTCTTCCAAAGCGGAAGCGACATGTTCAGGTATCCAATGTCATTTCTAGGTTTTCTACATTGTGTTGGACGATGTAGTGAATCAAATGCAGCCGCCAAGTCAAGGAAACTGGTAAAAGGAATCATCCTTCATTCCGTGAGAAATAAAAATTTTGCCTGTGCAGAAGTATCCCATTCGGAAGCCTATTTGATTTAGGCTAAGTCTGTCGTCAACCGCTTTCCTGACGCCGCCTTTTTAGAATAACGCATCATAATTACCGGGAAACGTAGGACAGAATTTCTTGCAGTCGGTTAAATTTATTTACGTGGACCCTAAGCGCTGGATCAATTGCCAAAACCCTTGATATAACAAAGAACGAATACTAAACAACAAAACCCACAGCGAAATTGGACCCGTATCTGGTTGGCCAGGGTCTGGTCCAAAACAGTGATTCTTCTGACCAAATCTGATCGATCTGACATCGGACAGGAAACGGAGCGACTGACCTTTGCTAAGCCCTGGTCCAGTACCTTGAAGGAACATTACATGGAGTTTATGCTTGGCCACTTTCAACGGCACTACTGGAAATACTAGTACAGCAGATGAAATGGGTCCTTTGTAATATATCCGCTCAGAGTAATTGTTGTCTAGCCAAAGGATGCAACCAATATTCATTAATGCCCTAGTTTCAGATTCAGCAAGTGGCTTTAAAATCGTAGAATGCGAGTCAGCTGTTTTTCCGGTGACAGTAGAAGTTGACCAGTGCGGCGTATAGGAAGAGCTACCGAGTGCAGGAATTGGTGAAGCCTTTCATCGCTCCGAAATCAGCGCATGATTTCCTCAATCTGCTTGGCATTGAAACCAATCGCCGGACTTTGCCAACCATTGTCTTCATCCGATGTGCCCAGCCAGTGTCCTGATCGACAGACAACTCCGGGTATTTTACAGTGGAGTTTTCAGACAAGTTGTTGTGGAACCATGTAGCTGGGATAGTGAATTCCGCACTGGCTCCGCTTACACTTCTCGCACGATGAAAAATTATATTCAAATGGCTGTCGTAGGATTCAGCGTTAGGCTGTTATCAGTCAAGCGACTTCTCTTCCCTTCAATGGGGACGACGAAATGCAATAATTCAGACCTGGACTGTAGCAGTGCAGCCAATAGGGCAATATCGACTGTATTTGACGCACGTGGTGGTTGCATGTGATGGATGACGTATATAGGATGAACAGTGCAGGTGACAAACAGAGAGTACGACCTCTCGCGTCATCAGGCGGGCCGTAGATTTCTTCATACAGGCCTGTAAAAATTTTTGCAATGTCGAGCAATACCTGACCAACAAGCTGAAAGTGTGAAACTCCACATCGACTCTGGCGAACAGTCTGAATATCAAGTCTTAGCAGAGTACTGTACTGCCTTGTTGCAGTCTATAAAGGCACCCCTTATTAATGCCATGAGTTGAGGTTGCTGGCCATGGTATTGACACAGCATTCAGCGCATCAAGAATATTACGCCTCCGCACACATTAATTGCCAGAGATCGACATGTTCTAACACCTGTGAATTAATCGACGGCGAGCTGATCCCTAACAAGCGTTTAAACACAACTGGAGCCAATGCAACAGGTCTCCAGTCAGATGCTGTGGACAGCTAGGACGTATTTCATAGGTACATGTGGAATGTGCGGTTGAATATGACGCGAAACCTGGTCTTGCACGATTTATGAACTATCATATATACTCCGGCATATGAACATACATTGATATTTATGTGGCAACATATGCGGAGTACAAATTCCTGAAATTTGTTTCATGTTGAACAAGGTCTGACGGACAAAATGTTGCGAAATACACCGGGTACTCTACGTACTAAAGTACTATGAAGCCATGGCCTGCTTCACTGCCCTCCGAAATATGGCCTGAAAGGAGATGTGCAATGACAGGTTCATTACTCGTCAGAACTCTTAATTTGACTCGTAGCATCGAATAAATATTTATCACATTTTGCGCTCAGACATGTCCTTATTTCAGCGTAGTCTGCGCAGGAAGATATGAGAAACCTCACCCAAATAGGAGGACAATGAGAAAGGAGCGAAATTAGTTTTGAAGCTGATTGATTCATCGGCGCGTAAGACCATGAGCGAGTAATGTACTCCGTATAATTGTTTCACCCGCTGGAGATTGGTCAACAAGAGAAAAATGGTATTTAATATGTACGATAATAACTTGCAGTGATATATGACAGGTCAGTGTCGTAGAGCCTTACTGTGGGAAAAATTTACTCCTGAGAATCAATGTTTCAGCATCAACAGCGGATCCCCTTCTGGACCAAGTTTCCGATGTATTTTCTTGTACTTCTTGAAGGTCGGAGGCACTCTTCCGTGTTCCCTGAACACCTTTGAAACAAGCTGGTATCCTAGAAAAAAGTGAAGCAGTCTTTCTCTACACAAGAAAATTTAAACGATCATATTTTTACCCTTGTCCCTTCCCTTTTTCGATCGACTTTGAATGAAAAGCTTCAACAAGGGTATATAACGAACCAATGGAAAACAAATACAAGAAAACAGCAACATGCACACCGCGAAAATAAAGGTCCAGAAGCCGAAACGCTGCGTCGAATATATGGCTTCCACGTCGCCTTCGAAACCCTGAAATACAAAAGTTGCATTTGGACATAAGTTTTCAAGAGATTCGTCATTCGATTAAGACAGATGTCAAACCCTTCGTTTTAAAAACATGGGTTCGTGTGTTCATATAAACTAACGGCAATTTTTTGTATATTAAATTAATTAATTTGCACATAGCTCATCTAAGGCAACATTGTATTGTGTATTATAAATTCCCGTTGCTTCTAGTTACCTTGGAGACCGCTTTAGCAGGGAACAGCTCCGTTTTATATGAGTATATGCAGTGCGATGTTTACCGCATCATTTAATTCAGTTAATCAGTAACGTTACTGTCACAATTGGCAATCGTTATATGCAAGTGCATTAGCATGAAATTCAGGAACGTACGAACAGCCGAGCATTTCTTTCAACTCCGAATTTCACGGCATACCGACCGCTGCTGATCTGGCAGACGAAATGATGCTATATGTATGTTGCTAAAGGTGCTAAATTAATACCGGCCGTTACAAACCCTCATGAACCTTCCAGACAACCTAGAGCAAGGAAACAGTGCAATGCGAACATATTCTTGAGGCGTTGTGAGGCTCAAGTTTCACTAATATCTAAGCCCATAGCTTTAGATTACAAAAGAATATATATTTACTAAATTATCAATTTACCAAACCATATTGCCAATCGACATAAGCACAGTTTGAAATATCTTACCGGAAAACTATAATATACTATGTAAAGTACAGGAAGGGTTCATCCCGAAGAAAATATGGCCGAAAGATGCCTCGAATCTGGTGGAAGACTGGTCTGATACTAACAGGAGGGCTTTATTTAAACGCTGTGTAAACGAAATTAAAAGTCTAGACGAAGAATCTGGTCAGCAATGCTACTGCCGGTAATAAAGATCTGACGAAGCACAGACTGATCAGCTTGTTTTCCAGTCATTCACAGGCTTCTAACATTTGTGCTGTCTAACAGATTTTGACGAAACTGGGACTCTGCACAAACAAACGGTCAAAGAAAATTCAAATTTGGCTTACGTGTGATGGATCGCCTATATGAAATATATGAAGTGATTAAGTAAGCAAGGAACACAGTCTAAGATTGTCTGTGATATTGTCGACTTTAAGGTTTTCGATCTGAGGGGCCAAGGATTCGAAAAGACATGCAAAAACCCCGTGGGCATAATGCATAAGAACGTATGGGCTTGTAGAAAGGTACACGATAACTTCAATAAATGCAGGGTCGAGAAAGACATCAGACAGTGCAATATGTTATCACATTTTGATATTAATGGCAACTCTAGAGAAGATTTTCAACATTTTCCAGTGATTAATCAGATGATAAAGATAAATCGTTTTTACGTAATTTGTTTATGACTTGCTGACAGCATTCGAATTCTCAAGAGATATCCAGAAGAACCGTGTGGAAGAATCCATGACCTGGACGAAGCCAGCATCAAGAATAACTTAAAAATAAGCCTGACGAGACCCTGTTTATGTTCATCATATGCGTGGTACGGAAAACCGTTGAACTCAATCACCCTTCGCTTAAAAATGGGGCAAACTGGATCGGTTTGACACTCCCAAGCTCTAGCAACAGAGAATCAGTTCTGCGAAATCAGCAGAAAAGAAGTAATAGCACTGATGAACACATCGAAAGATTAA